TACACATTATTGGGTTACAACCCAGTTTTACAGATGCCGGAGATTGTACTGAAGTAGAGGACAACTATAAGAAAGCAAAATAAAATAAAAATAAATTACAACAATGACAATGAGCTTTCAGAAAAGCTTCTGCCACAATCAATTTCTTAGGGCACTATCTGTAAGTTCTATTGATTCCAGCTCTTCTTATTAAAGTGAAAGGGACTTAAAGGTACTTTACCTTGGTTGTATAATACCTTTTGCCATTAAATACTAAAGAACTCTTTGTGCTACTACTAATAATCTGCTATTCTTTTTGAAATATTATATGAGGTACTTATAGTGGGTATGTCCTGCCATGGCCAAAGAATGTCAACAAGTCTTATAAAAGTAAATTACTGAGCACTTTGCAAAGGACTCTTGTAGCACCTTTGAGACCGAAGGCCTTTACAGACTGCCAGAAATAATGCAACTTGAGTCCACTTTAATGGTCCTGGCTCAGTGCTAGGGAATCAGGAGAACTGTAGTTTATTGTGGCACCAGAGCTCTCTGACAGAGAAGGCTTAAATTTCTTAGAAAAAAACTACAATTCCCATGATTCCCTAGCACTGAGCCAGGGCAGTTAAAGTGGATTCAAGTTGCATTATTTCTGGCAGTCTGTAAAGGCCCTGACTGAGCAACCCCCCCCCCCACACCAAGAAAAACCCCAACAGTGTAGAGTAAGCTTTCATAGACTTGGTTTGTTCCTCAGATGCAAAACCGTGTCTACAAAAGCATATGCTACAACATCTTTTGCTCAGTCAGAAAGGAGCTACAAGATTCCTTTGCATACTGATACTTCTGACTAACACAACTATATCTTTGAATTCTGCTGAGAGGTTTGTGTAACTGAGGCATATTTTTATTCCAGATTCCTTCTGCAGTTGACCAGATATAGCAAGAGAGAGATGAGCAGATCATATATATAGGAGACAATTCTTTTTCCTCCCGATATCATGGACTGGACAAAATGATCTTCACTGTTAGCTTCAGCTGTAAAGCTGCAATGCATAGTGCTATGCACATTAGTGATTAGCTGCAAACTACATAATTTTCCATGTGGACCTACTTTGCTTAATACTTTCTTGGATATACCAGATACTTAAAAATATAAAATAATAAATCCAGGTAATACATCACATTGTACTGTTATGCGTGATCTATCTTGTCCCTGATCCAAAGAAGAATGAGGGGAGAGTGGAAGGGAGGAACATTGAACAGGGGCTGCCAATTCACGTCAGTGTCAAAGAGAGCTCCATTTAGATTCCATATGTGAAACATTCTTTGACCTGGAAGGGAGATGAATAACTTCAGCTTCTGAAGTGCTTTGTGTATTCTTCAAATACACTGTGAGAGCTCCATTAGACAAACTAGATTTGGAATTGTGTATTTTGCCTTTTGAAACCTTTAAGGTAGTATCAGAGCCAGAATGCTGGTATATCAGTTACTGTGGAATTTGAAATCTCCCAGGCACATGGCTATACTTTGAGGTAAAGGAATATTTATTTGTCTTATTTACTGCACTTATAATCTGCCTTTCTCCCAAAATGGGATCTAAATGTTGGAATAGATAGGGCTTTGATTGATCCAACAGGGATCTGGTACTCCAAGCTTAGAAGGACAACCATCACCTTCCAAATACTGCTGGACAACATTAGTCCCAGCCATATAGATGTTGGTGAGAGATGATTGGATTTGCAGAACAACAGCATCCAGAGAGCCAGACGTTGTCCATGTTTGCTTTAAAGTGTCAGAGCAATAGGATTGGGTTTTTGCTTTTCAAAATTGGATCAAGTTAACATAGAAAATTGTGTAACAGTAAATAACTGCAGGCATTCCATTTGTGAGATAGTGCAAAAACTCAAAGATGCCATTAAGCAGTCACTTTAGTATATTTTATGGTTATACAAGATCTGAACAAAAGAAAGAAAATGATTAAGCTACATAAACCTCACTGTTAAATCAGTGTAATAATTACTGCGGAGAAAATAGAATGCCAGAGAAAAGACTCTGATAAATTGGTTTAGCTTACTTGCAATTGAAAAGAAAATCTTATTTGTAACAAATATTAAGATCATTATTTGAGGAAGAAATGGCATAGTTATGGTTTAAATGTTTTGAAATGCTTTTGTCTTTTACATAGTAAAATAAAATGTGTTTTTTCTTTCCTTAGGAAGCTCACATATCCTGCTGTTTTATCTGATGTGTGTATGTGTGTGTGTGTGTGTGCATGATTGCAGTGGGCAATCTTCAATTATTCATGCCTTAGAAAATACGAGGGGAGTATTGTAAAATAATAATTATCAACCGGACGTTATTATGGTATATTGATGAATTTTGTCAGTCTCATCATTGGTCCCTAAGTTCATGATATTGAGAAAATCCGCTCATTGT